GCAGTCTCAGTAGCTCCCTTTAAAATACATTCATTCTCACACATGCACAAATGACTGAACCAACTAAACACATGCAATTAGTAATGAATATGTGCATGCCTTCCTCAACCCACTGTACAATTACTGCAAATAATATAAAACACTGTCACATTCAGTTGTTGTCTTTATTATGTCATGGGCAGAAGACAATACTTAAAAGATATATATTTCTTTATATTTATATAGAGAAGATAACTGTATTTCGACAACTGAATAGCACTGCTACTAATTAATCCTAGATATACTGTATGTTAGACCAACTCCTCACTGCTAATTTGTTTTGTCTGTTATGTTTAGAGGGAATCAGAACTGCTGCCAAGATTATGTGCGAAAGCATGTTTTCAATTCAGATAAAAGTCAATACAGTAAACTCATTCTTTTTTTTTGTATTAAACCAAGATCACAGTCTTTCCCTAACCTTAACCAAGAGTAGAGAGCGCCTAAACATACTGTAACTATAAAATGGTATGGCATTGTATTGTAAGGCTTAATATCGTAGGAAAACAAATGAAACAGTCCAGTAAGACTTGGCTGAGACGGTCATTTGGAAAGTTTCCTGATTTTGCCATTGCACATACGTAAATCTAATTTTCAGGAGAAACGGCTGGTTGGACAGAAAAAATGTCAAGCTCTTGATCCAGGCACCAATATTAATGTACTTATGGCTCTAATAATGTTAACATTTAAAATAGCTGTATCAGCTCCAATTGACTTGATCATTTCACTGTGCATTGTTATTGTTATTGTTGACGCACCAAAAAGATAAAAGCTGATCATTTGTGAAGGAAATATAATAGAATGAAAGAAATATGCCAGGAAACAAAATAAATAATCTACAATCGAAATGAAGGTTTATTCCCTCATAGATAGGGAAAACTTTGCAATAGTTTGCCTCTATTATTTCAAAATAAAGCAATCTTCATTTGCACTGTGAAATAAATCCCTAATAGGAAAACAGGCAGAGTGTAGCAGCATATTGTGCAGAAAGGTCACATTTCTTACCATAACAACTATATTCTGCCTCCTTATAACATATTATACACATCTAATGTATTTGTGTTGATAGAGCATTTTTATGTACAGTGGACAGCCAACACAGACAGTCAGAACAAAGCTGTGTATATTTTGCCAAGAAAGTCTCATGCAGAAAGAGCTGTTTCTCTGGGCTGGATAATTACATTCCACGCAGACGATAACAGGGAAATGTCGGCTCTCCACTGCAGCCTCGCGCTGTGCTCGTCTACATTGTTGTTAAATTGTGAGCAGAATGGAAGCTATTGATTGCCGCTGTTCCCCAGAGGTGGCCTTTGTCCCGTCCTGTGTTTGACCTTCCATTCACCTGTTGAACATGGAAGATGTTGCTGAGGAAGTGCTCACAATGAATATCATAAATATTCAGCTACTAGAGGTACTGGAGACAGCCAATTTAAAAGAAACATTTTTTGAAGAGTTTTGCCAGAAAATACATGTAATAGATATCTACTCTAACGACAAAATACATATGCTGTTGGCACATTTTCATAGACTCAGGGTAAAACTTAGAACTTAAAACATATTTATATTTTTCTTCTGTATGAACCTCAGGGAGTAATACTTCCCCTCTTTAGGTGTGAAGTTTTCGTCTTTTGTAGACCTCTACATTTGGTCTTTTACTGTGTCATTCTAACATTAGCAATTGAAGATAAGCTGTAGATTGGCTGAATGAAAACTGTCTTATAGATTTATGAGCATCTGATAATCCTGCGTGCTGTCTTCTATTTGCCGCTTAGCCCAACAGGTTTGTTGGTGAGGTGCAACGCAGGTTAATCTTCTTTTGGGTCTGTTTATGTGTTTGCTAACCTGCCTATGGTTTGTCCTTAGGCTGCCAGAGTACATTGTATGTTTGTGTATTAGACTATTTAAAGCACAGATTTTTCATCTCCACTTCTGTATCTGCGGCTACTTGACCAAATACTGAACAGTGTCAGAGTCTCACCACAGTGCACTGAACAATACTCTCACTGACAACACAGCTACACAGTTAGAAAAGAGGCATTTCTTGTGCATGGTTTAAAAACTGCTCCCACTTGATACACATATTTAGCCTCGACCAATAATTCTCAATAAATCTAATATTTATCAGCCATCTGTGTCTTCAACAGAAAAACGGCCATTTTGTTTGACTATGTAAGCACTGGAAGTATGGGTATTGAGGGGGCTGCAGCACCCCCTAATATCTGGCATTATAAATTAAAAATGTTTATACTTATAATGACTTCATCCTTTGGAATTTACATGTGTATGTTATGACAGGAAAGAGATTTAGCCTTGTTTTGATCAGTTTGATTTGATTTGATTTGAAATTTGTGTAAAATGTTATTAAGAACTGTAAAATAGGCTATCAATCATGCTGGTCATTCAAATTAATGTTAAAACCATGAATGTCATGCTTTATATCTAGACTGTTATCTTCTCTTGTCTCTGTGTGCAAGCAGCTTATTGCAACCCATATTTACGTTTAAGTTTATCGCTAAACGGCGTCCTCTAGTGGGTGTAATAATTATGATGGTAGCAGTATAAAGAACGAGAAAGAATGTGTAGGGTGAAGGTCGGGGTAGATTGGTGGATCAAACCAACACAGGATTTTCACCCCGGAGGCTGGGGTTTGTGTCAGTGTCACATAAGGTAATGCTCTGACCACAAATGCAGAGGGTTGCAGTTGCTCTTGCTCGTTTTACCCAATTTTGCCCGAGGATCAATAAAGTATTTCTGATTCTGAAACTTAGGGTTAAGTTACCCTAACCTGAACCCTAACCATAACCCCAACTTAATGTTTTACACCTGTTATGCCAAATCGCGATCTTTTCCTAAATCTAACCAAGTAGCTTTGGTGCCTAAACTTAATTATCTGCACCCGTTTCACAACGTTCATCACCTGTTCAACATCCATAACATACTTATGTTCTGGAATGCCTGTTGCTGGTACTTTCCGACGACCATATGTTGTTTTCAGAGTCATTGGAAGGCGACCTATTCTGTCATTAAGGTGTGAAGACGTGTTGTTTGTAGTAAATAGATTGTACTGTAATCAGAACAACAAATGAACCACAATGTGAACAATTCAGCCACAAGAGGAAATAAGGACAAGTACTAAGAAGCATTGTAGCAAGAGTATTGTTGGTAATTATTACAGTATAAGAATGGTTCTACCAGCTGTTTTAGTGATATCTTTAAATTCACACAGGTAAAAATCAGGTAAAAACTGTTTTATTGTTTGACCTTACGTTTAAAGGTTTCTCAAAACACCAAAATGGCATTAAAAAGATTATGAGTTGCCCTATTTGCCGAATTGTTAAAAAAAAAATAAATACACAAATATGTAGCAAATATTCAGAATTCATTCCAGCATGGTGGTTCAGTTTGAGGCCTCTAATAGTGGAGGACAAGCTACCAGACTTAATGTTCGTACAGTATATTGATATTTCATCTCTGAAACAGGATAACGATGCACTCTTTTCATTTTCTGTGATAGTGCCAGAAAGTTTAAATTCATGCCTATGAATATACAATGTGACTGTCACAGGTAAAACATGACCCTTGACAGGTATATAACCTGATATATCAGTCTGACCCAATCCCACGCTCAAACATGGACAGACAGAAACAATGAGAATCCATGTGGAAGACAGAGTAAATCCCTTCTCTCTACGTTCAGCACGTTTGAGGGGTTTTCAGAGTGATTTTTTGGCTGCAGCTGAGTGTCCAACTCCTCTTGGAGAGGAAGCGCAGGAGGTCGCTGAGACCTCTTGCTTCCTTAACCCCCTCCTTTATCACTGTACAACCAGACCCCCACCACTGCACCAGTCCAGATGAGTGTGTGGCCAACAAGATTGGACCCTCCTCTCTGTGACTGATATATAGTTTCATTCAACAGTAATTCTGTCAGCTCTGTGTCAGATGAATGTGCGTCTGGGTCTATTAGCAGCTGCGGCTGCAGAATTACTGACTGCCGTGTCCTTCAGTTTACAGACAATATTGCAGTGAGGAGGGGGTTCTCAATCTGAAAACACACGCACCCATCCCCCAGGGCAGAGCAGATGTGACTGGGAGAGGTGAAGGGGTGGGGTGGGGTGGGTGGGTGTGGGAGGTTAGGGAGAGGTGAGCAGGTTGAAGAGGTCTGAGACGATGCTCGTAAATACACAACATGGGACATGGAAATAGCACAAACACCCAAGATGTTGCGAATACCACCATCACTTAGTTTCTCTTGTCTCCTTGTTTTTATGGTCTTCTTATTTTTCACTGTTCTGTTTTTGTCACATATTTCAGTGGGATTTGGCCCTGGATTAATAGCATGACATAGGGTAGGGAGTTCTTTATTCATTTCAAATCCAATTTAATAGCTGAGTGAGTTTACACAGATAAGGAGCTATATGGGATGTTTCCATAGACCATTATGAACAAATAAAATTGAAAAATACAAAAAGGATATTGATTTCTCCCATAAAAGAAAGTCCTTTTTATTGTCATATTCACAGTATATTCACATATGTACACCATTTTACAGCACTTTTTACATGAAATGAAACTTAGCCTCTGCATTTGACCCATCCTATATACATTAAGAGTAGTGGGCAGCCTAAGCGCACAGGGAGCAGCTAGGGGTTAGGTGTCTTGCTCAAGGGCATCTCGGCAGAGCACAGGAGGTGAAAGCTGGCAACTGTCCAGCTACTAGTCTACACTCTATACTGTGGTCTGTGGGGCTTGAGCCGGCAACCCTCCGGTTCCCAAGCCACGTCCCTACACACTGAGCTACTGCCGCTCCCCAAATATGAACATGTATCCCACAATATCAGTTGAATAATCAGGACTGTTTGCAGGTTTCAAAGTATATCGATCAGGATTTTCAGACTTGTTTTAAGATAATGCCTTTCTTTCTCCGTCTGTTTCTTTATCTGCCTCTGTGTGTGTGTTTCCTGTAGGTTGGAGATCAAATGAAGCTGCTCCATAACTGCTGGTCTGAACTTCTGGTCCTGGATCACATTTTCAGACAAGTGCAACATGGACAGGAAGACAGTATCCTGCTTGTGACCGGCCAGGAGGTAACAACTCCCTCACACTACTTCCCTGTTGTCTGCCTTATTCAAAATGTGGTTAAATGTGTAATGTCACTTGTATGGCTTGAAGGTTGATACAGGAACAATGCGGATGTCTTTAGACTAATAGTCCATATTTTGCACCAAAACATTTCAAATTTGGTTATTTTCATGCCACAAATTACATGTATGGTATATAATGTTTCCCCAAGCCCTGTGTATTTTATCAGCCTCTGACACAGATGAAAGTGAAATTCTTGTAGCGTTAGTAGCTCTGCATGGCATGCTGACCCACCACGCCTACTCAGTGGAAGGAACTCTGGAATGCATTAATACTCTTAAAATGAAAAATTGATTTGCATTAACTGCACTTCATGAATAGACAGAATAGAAGAGGTGGACTGGCATGTCATATGCTACATGACACACCACTGTATCAGCATATCAGTCTTAAGATGGAGAGGCCTCCATGCTGCTAGTTAAATTGTTTAAATGAGGTAAATTAATTCCTGAAGACAATTATTTAATAATGTTATGTAAGTTTTAATGTATGTTAAATAGCCTAATAACAAGGACAATTTGCCGATGCCTTAATGAACACATTTAAGGCAACATTATGTGTGCCTTATGAGCAAGGTTGGATTGCAGTGTGCCCAAAGCCCCAAGAATGCCAGGGGCCCCAAACTATGTATCAGCTGGATGGTGCTAATTTAATTGAACATTTGTTTGGAGAAGATGCAGCACTGAAGCACATTATCAACTGACATGATAATAATGATTATTACAACATCACAAGGCCATGTCTGGATATCAGTTTTCTTGCATATGAAAATTAGCTTTTAAGGCTAAATCTAAATCTTTTAAATTAATCAACTTCAAACTTCAAACATACTGCTCACTACAGTGGACAGCTATTCAAGGTTTTGATGGTATAGTTTCACATCAGCCATCATCCCATACACTCCCCCCACTGGCCAGTGTTGAAAGGACAACAAAAAATTCTCAAAACCAAGATGGCAAACCGAAGAGCAGCTCAGGAATTATCTTACCAATCTATCTATAGTAGGAGACACTTGCAGGTAAATCAAATTAGGTAACAACTATGTTGAGTAAGAGGCATGTATATAGTTTTATATGTATGTTGGGAGAAAATTACGATGAATTAACTGTCCACTAAATTGGACATGATACATCACTGGCTATATTTCAGCCACAATTACTATTACTTTAAATTTGTTGTAAGTGACAAGCGCTGTAAATGAATTTGTAGCAAAAACAATATTTTGTGCAAATGATATGAGTAACAGTTAGTGTGTTTATATTAATATAAATATATAACATATATCTATAAATATCAATCAATATATTCAATGTTTTTGCATTGAACAACAAAATATGTGAACAAATTAGTTTAACAGTATACAAAATATATAGCTTTATAGTTTTTTTTACATCATACAGCATTTAATAATTGTTTTTTCATTTACAGTTGCCCACCAGAGTAGACAGTCAAAAAATATATAAATTTAAAAAATGAAATCCAAATATTTTTTCATGACTAAAGAGTAATGTGACATTAAAAAAATAACCAGTAGCCTGTGTTTTCAGGTCGAGCTGTCGTTCATCGCGTCCCAAGCTGAGGCGACTCTGTCCAGTCTGGTCCAGAGAGGTCAGGAGCTGGCGGTGAGGCTGCGGGCGCTACAGGTGGACCGCAGAGAGATCGCCTGTCTGAAATTCCTCCTGCTGTTCAACCCCAGTGAGTCAGCCTCATGTTTGTGCTCCATCACTGTGATGTGTCTGTAGATAGTGTGGCTAGAGATGAAGTGTTGGTCAGTGATCATCTGGCAAAAATGAAATTTAATTAAAAGAGATGCTGTCTTTAGAGCTTATATCTGACCCAATGTAATGTTTAACATAGGTGATATCAGGTGCTAAAGCTCAATACAGTCGTCCCTTCAGATTTTAAGCAAGAGTGATTCATCCCTAATTTACCTATCTTCAAATAAAAGTGTTTTTAAAGGCTTGAACTTACATATGTAGCCCGTAGATTGTGTGTTTTCAGAAGAATGACAGGTTTGGATGTAAAAATCAATCAACTTTGTGGGTCTGCAGGGCCATACTGATGCTGTCCTTTGGCGGAATTTGAATAGCAACACTGATATTTTAATGAAAAAAATGTCACAATTACAAATGATCTGCAGTACCTATTTATCTGTAAGGGTACAAGCGTTTTTCAAACTGGCCTTTTTCACTCCAATAAATTCACTTAATTAAATTTTAGGGTTGACAAAAGCCAATTTTAACAAAGACATCCTCCTCCATTGTCCACTAATGGCATTCAAAAGAAGCGTAATGGATGGGTCTATCATTCGATGGCGGGACCGACATTCATGCAGTGGCTTGTACAGATGGAGAGAGCATAGATGTGGCTTGCCCAGATTCCCAGAAGTGTTTGCTGTTTAGCGCTGGCAAAGCGGGGAACAAAGAGCTTTTGAATGGTGAGAGCACTTGTCATAGGCAGAAAATATTTGCTGTCTTTGCCTGTGGCTCTTTGCTCGCGCTCTCCCTCATCTCCAGAGTCAGGTTTGTTGGGGGTAATTTAATTGCCCTTAAGCAGTTTGAAAAGATGATTCAGAACATTGATTGAAAACATTTAATTACTGCGTGAATGGATTCTCCAAGATGGGCTCAGCTGATGCTGAATGCCGGACCACAGGAGGGCTTGGCTATTGTCTCACACACACACAGCCACCCACACTCTATGCACTCGCCTTGTTTCATACATAAAGTATAGATCCAGCATATAAAATCCAGTAGCTAGCATTTATACCATCAATGAAGGGGTTGCATGCAACATTCAAACTGCTTTATTTGTTCTTTGTGATATTCTAAAATAAAACTTTAATATTTACTTACATAATGTGAAAATACTAACGTACTAGAAAAATTAAAGGAATTTCTTTGAATAAAAATACTGGCTTTATGCAGCTGGAGTGTTATGTGTATAAGCCTTCAAAACCCACCCATACTGGGCAAAACCCAACTAATTTCCATCCGATTGTGCTAATTTTAAGCAAATCGTTAAAGGACTCTGTCCTCTACAAACTGATCCTAACTCAAGGTCCACTTCAAGGTTTTCCTTTTAACAGCATCTTACAGTCGTCAGCACCATATAGAGTTTTCTCAGTTGCCATGGAGCTCATTTGTTAAAAAACAATGACCTAAGTATAAAACCATTCCATGATGCAGACTTTCAGATGCAGTTGAAAGCTCCAGAACCACACCCAGTACAGTAAGTCAGCCTTGAGGGAAGATTTAGTCAAACTACAATTTCCATGTCCAGAATGAACTTTAATGCTCAAATGGAATCATTGTGGGTTATTAAGGGTTAATATTTTATCAAGATTATTATTAAAGGCTTAAATTTATTTTATTTAAGTTTCTATTGAGTTTTTATTAAGGAACAACACAAATTACCAACTACAAAAGAAAGTAAAAAAAAATTCAAAACTCTGTCAGCCTAGCACCAGTCCTTGAAGGAGTCATCAAGTGACTGATTTTATAGATCAAACCTGGCTACAAACAAAAAGACCTGTGGCACAACCAAAGAAAAAACAAGAGCCCACTCAATCCACCTGTACATTGATACACTGAAAATTCATAATATTAACTAAAAGAGAGACATACAAATACAAAGTATATAGGTACAAACTCCTCAACTACTGTCTGGCTCCTATGGCATGTTTTCTCCTTTTACAAGAGACAAAAACTCAGTTCAGACAAGTAAATATGATTGTTTACGGTTTTACAGGTCCATTTATGTTGTCTCTGTCATCACCTTAACCCACTGTCTGGGTTTTCCGGTTACAGAGGATAACCCTAGCAACTGAAATAAAGCCTTTTAGTGCCAGGGCAAATGCAAGCTTGGAGATCTTGGGTAAACATGACCAAGAGTTGAACTGATACAGGTTCTGCACGAGTTTTGCTTAAAAGGAAGTTTTTCCTTGCTGCCATCCCAAGTTCTTGCTCATGGTGGGAACTGTTGGGTCTCTGTAAATAATGCTATAAGGAGTACGGTCTAGACCTGCTCTATTTGAAAAGTGTCCTGAGATAACTTTTCTTATTAATATATACAAATAAAACTGAATTGAATTGAATTGAATTGAATTGAATACTTGCACAGATACACCTAGCCACTCCTGGATAGTTTGGATTATCTCTCTCCAGAGAGACACCATTAGAGGGCAGGCCTCCCATCTGTATCATATGCATATGATCTGTATTATCTTGTTCCAGCTTTTCACTGTAGCTATATGATGTTTACAATCAGTATATCAGTAGCATTTTACATTATAGCTTGGTAATAACAGTGGGGTTTGATAAGAAAGAAGTATGTATGTAATTACCAAAGTAATAACCAGTATGGGTATATCTGGGTAATATTAGACTGAAATGTATGTAACAAAGGGTAATAATGGGGAAGTACATAGACATAGCAACTACTTAGCAATTATAGTAATACTTACTTATATCAAGGCAATATTTGGATTACATATGGTACTATAACGGTGACATTAATGGGGTAACAACCTGATACTAAAGGGTTAATTAATACTGATGTTTTCAAAATAAAAGGCTACTATCAGTCTAATACCTTCAAAATCACATTCAAATTCTTTGAAGTCAAAATTGGCAATTATTATATTATAATGCTGAAATTCATCCTCCCTCATGTTCCAAACATGCCCTTTGTTTCATAGTAATGTTTCAAGTGGTTGTTTCTGTGTAATAACCATGAATAGGGGCTGCAAAATGCTAATCTACCTGCTTTTGTTTAATTTCACATTTTAAGAGACATATTGGTAACATTTTGGCGACCAAGCCAGTAGTTCCACTCAGGAAAACGTAGGGTCTCTCTCAGTGTATCCTCAGTCATGCTGACTCTGAAGCGGTAAGGTCTTCAACGTACCTCCAGCGTCTTTCTATGTGCTGAGTATGTGCTACTAGATCTGAACAAAGAACCTCTGGGGGTTGACCTGACTTAATCATTATACTTTGATGTTTGGTTTAATCTAATATTACAGATTATTTGTACAGTATTAAATTGAACCCAGTGTCTGACAAACACACTTGAAGGTCTGTAACGTTTATGGGATTCACTACTGATTCTGCTCCTTTCACTTGGTCATGATCCATGTTCGTCCTCTGTGTGTGTGCAGATGTAAAGCTGCTGGAGGACCAGGCATTTGTGGAGGGTGTCCAGGAACAGGTGAATGGGGCTCTGCTGGAGTACACCCTGTCCACCTACCCTCAGTTCCAGGAGAAGTTCAGCCAGCTGGTGGTGCGGCTGCCGGAGCTGCGCTCCCTCAGCACACAGGCAGAGGACTACCTGTGCTACATGCATCTGAGCGGAGAGGTTCCCTGCAACAACCTGCTCATAGAGATGCTGCATGCCAAGCGAGCGTGTGTTTGAGGGGATGCTCCACCGTCATGTGTTGTTTCTCTAGGTGAGACTCTGTGTGTGTGTGTGTGTGTGTGTGTGTGTGTGTGTGTGTGTGTGTGTGTGTGAGGGAAAGTGTGAGTGAGATGAAAAAATAAAATGAAGATAGACAGGTTGGGATCTTTGTGAGGGCTTTTGTTTGAGTTAAAAAGAAAACATTTTCTTTAGAGTTTGGAATTATAGAGCTCCATCTGTATTCAAGGTAGATTTTGAATGTTAATGTTTTCATATCCTGCAGAGCTACATTAATGTGACCTTTATAAACTGGATTTTTTACCCTGTTTTCAAAAACCTAACGTTAGATCTGCCTGTAGAGTTACATTATATCCTCTCTGATCAAATATTACATGAGTCCAATATCACAAGATTTTCTAGAGCTGCCCAGCAAACATTTAGACATTAGTCTTGAAAACATGGTGTCAAAATGACTGTGGAGAACTGCATAATTTTGAAGCATCCACACTTAAATATGTTACAGATATCACTGTAAAATAGTTCACAACGCCACTTTGATAAGAATCCTATTGTGAGATCTGGTGCTGGGTAGTCTGACGTTTACATCACAGGATTGCCTGGTAACACCCGTTGAATGCTTGCTGGGTGAGCTAAAGTGCACTTTTTATGGCAGATTTTATAGCCTCTTTTCAGAAATCAAATTTTAGTGTAAGAAATTAGCCATTGTTTTGACACAAATTTCAGATGCAACTTTATGATTCCAAGGCCACAAACACTGTTTAGATTATTACTATTATTGTTTAGATTCTTTTTAGAGAGACTTCAGGATAACATGACACACTGTGGTCTCGTTAGACAAGACTAGCATGCTCTTATCCCTGCACTTACAACTACTAACAACCGTACAGAAAAATTTGAAAGCTCTATGGGGTTCAATATAGTTATGATTTAATCTATTTAGATGTTAATATATTGATATATCAAAGCCAGACATGTTAAGAAAAATACATTCTTATTCAGTAATTCATCAAACCCCTACCCAGGAAAACAGAAAAAGAAAGGGAGACAGATGGATAAGATGGTAAAGACAGGAAGAGTGAGTGAGAATGAGAGTAAAACTATACACAGCAGTGCTTTGTGGGTAAAAAAGTAAAAGGAAGCCAGGGCAGATAGGAGCATTCACGCATCAATGTGCAAATGAACTGCAAGTTAACTCGTAGAGAAAAAGGAAGCATCTGGAAGTGTTTGTGCCTCAGAGATGACACTGGGAGGGGAAAGATGCATCTGGCAACATTTGGTTCCAAGTTTCTTTGTAAAACTTCATGTATTGTGGGTCAATGCCTCGAGAAACAATAGACCCCCAAAAAATTAAAGATGTCACATTCATACTCACATTTGTGTCACTTTTCAAAACACTGTACTGTATGTGGACCAGTGGTTGACTGATCAGAGTGTGTGAAGGCTGATAATGGTATGTTTGTACTGAAGCTGATATGATAGGACCAGTCTATGAGAGAGACAGTATTTAACATGATGAACACAATTTTCATATGACCATGATCCTATAAATAATTCAATAAATAAAGTGCATATTTTAAACAGAATTTATCATCAGACAACCACTGGATGAGACTACAGACCTTATCAGCCGTATACACAGTATCAGGAACCTGAACTATGGCTCTAAGACACTGCACTGTGTACTTGTAGCAGTCAGTGGCATTTACTGTGTTGCAAAGTAACACTATTTTGTCCCATACTGGGCAGATTTCTTAGAGGTGACAAACCCTTTTTAAAACGCACATGACTCGATGCGATGATGACAATGTAACTGATATTCACCGGCACTGTCACAAGGGGACCGGCTGAAAGACAAAGACACATACAAACAGTGTTTGTAATATTGTGCAGCTCAATTTTCCCTCATGTTCGTCCATTGACGTGGCAGCCTCCACCATTTCAAGGTGTCGTAGACAATCACTCCACCTGCCTTAACTAAATGTCTGCCTGAAAACACACACACACACACACACACACACACACACACACACACACACACACACACACACCATGGTTTTCCCGTTGAGACAGCTGTGTGTTATCACTCTGTACAGTATATTTATGTTGTGAAGTGAATATCTACTGCAAGATGAAGATACATTTCAACACCGAAACAGTTCTCCGCTTTATGTTGAGATCAAATCGCTACCGTTGTGGAATTGATTCTCTTGATATTGCCTTTGTTTTTGCTCTGAGTTCACTTTTTATTTTCCTGTGAGTTGACAGTCCGTCCCGTCTTAAAATTATAGTGTTTTTTCTCCCAAAATGGAAAGTGACCAAAACATTTTTGTTTTCTTTAAATATATTTTATTGTAATAGCATCAAACCAATAAAATTCAGTGAAGAAAAGCTCCACTTGTGTGTCGGCTATCATTGCATAGCATTCATCAGTTGTGCACAAATGAAACAGAGCTCCTATGTACAAGATTCAATACAGCAGTGTAGTGTGGCTGTTATTCAGCCTTGTCTGACACAAACATCATTCACATCAGTTATATTCTAAAACATTAAACAAACGTTTAAGGAAGTCACCATTCAGTGTCTCAAAATAGACATCAACCTTACTGTGACTTTTGTCATTTTCCAGTTACACATTTATTTTCATTTATTTTATTTATTCATATTTTAAGGTGTAATTACATTTTGGAATAAAAGTCTTCAGAGGAATATTTATTCCTCAAATATCTTCTACAAAAATGCCTACATCAGCGGCTCTCAACCCCAGGGGTTCTTAAGGGGGTTTGTAGGGGGTCCTTGACACCAAAAAGGTTGAGAACCACTGGCCTAGATCATGCTGAAGCAAGCACCATGATGTCTAACAATGCAACAGAGAAAATAGGTTGTAGCAGACCTTTGCAGTACAGCAGCTAAAATCAAGAATTGTGATTCTTATTTACATAAGCAGCTACAACATGCTTCCTGGCAGGTCAGGCAGTCCACAGAACCAGCAGTCACACAGATATTCAGCATGATGTAAGCCTTTAGCTTACAGTGCATTCTGCTAGGAAGGAGATAAAATGTCTGATGCTTGTAACAACACAGAATGCGGGACACATAAGATAACTCTGCAGTGTCTGATAGGTCAATAGTTACTGAACAGAAGGCAACAGAACATGTGCCTCCTGTTTCTCTCTTCAGACTATATCATCATTCCACTATTGTTTGGGTGTTTTTACAGTTCAGTCTTATTTAAAGACCCCCTCCAGACATGAATAAGACATATATACAAATAGTTTTAAATTGTTTGGAACAATAATGTGTGTCTGATATGTTTTTTTTTCTTTTTCTGAAAAAAATATCAAAATTAAAACCTTTAAAAAATCATCTCTCTTCTACCTCATTAAAACTTCCAGAATCTCTGAATATGCAAATGTTAAATTCTAAAGTTTTCCTGCTGGACACAGTCCATTCTCAGTGGATGTGCACTGGTGGCTTCAAGTTTCTACATCACACTGTACAAGTTGATACTGGACCAGGACTCACTGACAGTGAGCACAGAGAAACTTTCCACTTTCAGCAGATGAATGTGAAAACATCTTTCTAGAGCCAAACTGTGCACAGACAGCATCCAAACAGCACACTGTAGGTACAAGAAGAAACATTGATTTCTGACTGGAGGGGGCTTAAATGCTTTACAACAGTAAGACTGTAAACTTTCCAGAAAGGCATTATCCAACTTGGTGGTGCATGCACAAAATGTTTGGTAACTATAAGAAAACATGACATGAACCATAATACTACCGTGTTGGGGCCATAGGCCTTTGTTCTTTCTGCTACACTTGAATTATTATTAAATCCTAGAGCTATTTACATGAAACATGAGGGCAATAGAGTGAGAATGCAGTCCAGCCTTAATATCAGTCACACATCTGGGCTGACATGATACATTTTTAGAGCTTGTCATTTCATGAAAAATAAAAAGTTGGCCACTGTTTTCATGGCAACCAGCATGGTGGTCCAGTGGAGAACTGTGTTTGTTAAAGACAGTACCTGATAGCTGCTGTGTGGGTGTTGGTAAGCTAGTAACAATACAAGTAAAAGTGAGAAGAATTATTAAAGGGTTCAACAGTATGGCTAAACATAAATCTAGCATTGCAAATACTGTAGTTTTATTGAAGTTTTCAGTTATTTAGAAGAGTATATGGTTTCTGCCTCCACCCCACTACAATGGAGGTAAGCTGAATTTAATTTGAATTTAACAACAACAGCAAATGTTTTCAGATACAACATCCTGATTACGCAGAAGGGACAACAGTCTGCAGTTCACTTTTTCTGATTCTAGGAGCACTACAAAAGAAAAAACAAATCTGCTCAATTGTACTCAAAGCCTTAGTGAATAAAACTGAATGTAGTACACTATGCACACTTACTTGCGTAGTGCAGTAATTTTGGCATTTTTGTCCCCAAATCGAGCACGGCCGTTGCATACTTAGTATAAATTACAATCACAACATTTTACTGCATCATCTTCTTCTTCTCCAGTGATTTACAGCCGGACAGAGCATTAGCACCAATATCGGCTTATTTTTTACTGGCTTCCTTCATGATATTAATCAAAATTGATTGTGTGGTGTCCCCCTGTTTCATGCAAGGCGGAAATTACACGGTCTACACCGATGTTGTCTCATGGAAAATGTACCGATATGTTCCAGTGGTCCCTACCATTCTGCTGCGAGAAAATGGCTACCCCTTTTAACGAGTTAATGGTGAATGAGAAGTTTACAATGTTCCACACCCAACTTTCTGACCATTACGAGTGCACCATGCGGGTACTCACAATGCACTGCGTTTTGCCACACTCCACAGTGTGAATGCACTTAGGTACTCAAAATAGTTAGTGTAAGTTTGTAGTATTCTAATTGAGACACAGCATAAGACTCTCATTTGTGCATTGAAGAAGTCACTTCATCTGCTCACACTACTAGAAAGCGAGAAAGTAAGTACCGACATTGTGGGCTGATACCGATGTTTTTTTATTGTTACTTATGAGTTGGAAATAACCAAAAAGACATTTAGTCAGCAAAAAACGGAATTTGGGAACTTTCTCCTTTTCTGTACTTAGATGTGCTATGGCTCATCTATCTATTAGTTAACTAGCTAGCTAATCTACATCAAGCTAGCTAGTTCGCTAGTGTTTTGTTTTTTGTAGCAAAGCACTAACTGACCAGCTCACTAGCCAACTATTGATTTATGGAGATAAGCTTGTGAGCTAGCATTTTGCTAACATTACTTAAGTTAAAATGTGACTGTATATACACCAATCAGCTATAACATTGTGAGCACTGACAGGTGAAGTGAATAACAGTCAGTGGGTGGGATATATTAGACAGCAAGTGAACATTTTGTCCTCAAGTTGATGTTAGAAGCAGGAAAAATGGGCAGCGTGAGGATTTGAGAGACTTTGACAAGGGCCACATTGTGATGGCTGGACGACTGGGTCAGAGCATCTCCAAACCTGCAGCTCTTGTGGGGGGTTCCCGGTCTGCAGAGGTCAGTATCTATCAAAAGTGCTCCAAGGGGGGCTGAGGCTGAGTCCTCGGTACAGTTCAAAGTTTGCTGCGTGTCATCCCCTCTCTCTCTGTCCCCCTTTCCTGTCTGTCTTCAGCTGTCACTATAATAAAGGCAATAAAACCCCCAAAAATATACTTTATATACTTTATAATATACCTTTCCTTGCCACCGTCTCCAAGGTCTTGCTCATGGTGGTACTGTTGGGTCTCTGTAAATAATGTTATAAAGAGTTCGGTCTAGACCTGCTCTATTTGAAAAGTGTCCTGAGATAACTTCTGTTATGAATTGGCGTTATACAAATAAAACTGAATTGAATTGAATCACAGAGTAAAAAGGGAAAAGACTTAGACAGGGTCAATGCGACACAACAGATAAACATCGGTGAATGGCATCTTATTTGTGATAGGCGGATGTCAGTCAACAAAGCGTATATTGGCCGATATATCGGTGCATCTTTTAGACAAAATTGTTTTTTATTGTTACTTGCAGAGATTGATGTGTGGACATTAGCTTAAACTATCAAAACATACTACTCACTACTCACTCTTCTATTTGTTCCAAAACTGAGGACTTCCAATATGGCTGACAGAGAGACGGCTACCTCGGCAAGAGTTTGTCTGAGATAAAAAAACACATGCTATGTGATGAACACTGATCTGATCTGACAACAGAACAGCTCCACGCTCACGCCTTCATTATTGCCTCATGCTTATTTTCTTCCGCACTCTCCAGCCCAGCAGAGAGTGTGTGTGTGTGTGTGTGTGTGTGTGTGTGTGTGTGTGTGTCCAGGTCCCCCGTTCTTCCAGTGATGGTGCTTGTTTGTTGTAACTGAGTATCAGGATCCACTCCATTTGCGGCTCAACAACCTGCAGTGAAATGAAGTGAAAGGCATTAGTTATGACTCAACCTGATGTTTAATGTTTTTGCATTACAGGAGTGCGAGTGTGTTTGCGTACAAAAGAGAAAGCAAGAAAGGAGGGAAGTGAAAGGCAGAGTGAGAGAGAGCAGGTGTTGGAGTGCTTAATGGCTGAGGGCGTGAATAGCTGGCGTTGTCCGTTCCTGATTAAGGGAATGAACTTCCCCTTTGTCTAGTCGGTTGACAATGAACACCCAACAGCACTCACACCATCCATCAGGCGTTCTTCACAGAAGGACCAACATTTAATGAATTTATTACAAACTTCCTTCTCCCTACTGCCAGTCAATTTATAGCCATTGACAGTGCCTTAACCCTCTGGAAAAAATGAGGACCATCTGTTGTGTCCTCCTGCACATTCACATCAACAAAAGACACCGGGGCAGTTTTCACACAGGCCTAATGCTTCACACTGCGCAGGTAAATGGAGACAATCTGGGAAGATAAAACCCCTTTTGCTCTTTCTCCTCTGGTCACTTCTTTGTATCATATGTGAATCTTCCATACATTTCCTGTGTTGATCAGTGGCTGACCCACACGTCCTTCCACAAGGGTTTTAGGAAGTTCATGCGCTTCAGATTAAAGTCACTAATAGATGACTATTTCTACAAATAGCCTACTGCACCTTTAAAAATGACTTTCATGGTAGAAATATTTGAACTACTCTTTTTTTTCTCCTGTTTTAGTCTATTTGCCAGCCAGTAGGGCCCTATTGTGAACCTGAAATATTGAGTAACCCAAAGTTTGTTTTATGTTATGTTATGAAATGTAAAGTGTGGGTCCCCAACATTTAGAAGCTGCCTTGCCAATGTTGGGAAATTATACCTATATGTACAATTTTTCAGCAACTGCTTGGCCAATGTAGACAATATAGGAGTGGTTTTGGGGCTTATTGAGAATGCTAAACTCGTTTCTGACATTGGCTGTATTTCAGCTACTGGTGGGCTGATTTTGTGTTATTTGCTTATGCTTCACTCATAACCACAGCTGCAAAGACAAAATCTTTGTCTTACTATTGTTACTCTGTCTTGATTGCAGGTCAAATGCATTAACCATTAAAATAAACTCAAAATATGGCCACTTCTGGTTTATACAGCCACTTTAAAAATGTCAGAAAATGGATTCAGCATCCTCAATAACCCCCATAACCATGCCTATATTGTCTGAATGCTTATTAATGCTAATTATGCTAATAGCCCAACAGATGCAAGTTAGCATTTGACAGTTAGTAAATGCTGGGAACCCATACTGTACATTTCTTTTTTTCCAAACATAAAGGTTTGGGGTACTCAACATTTCTTTTTTCGACTATTAGTGAACATTTTGAACAAAAATCAAATAATGCCTTCAGACCATCATTCCACAGTTGTGCCAATTAGCTAACTAATCTATATCAAGCAAAACTCTGTAACAAAACATTAGCTAACTAACCAGCTAAGTAGCCAACTATCAATCAATTTAGATTAGCTAGCTAGGTAGCGTTTTGCTAACATTAGCTAACTTAAGATGTGACTATCTATATTCAACATAGAGTATCCTAGCACATAGCATATTTAAATATTTCAACTACTCTCCTGTATTATGTGTATAAGTGAAAATTGAGAACAAAAATCAAAAACTCAGCATTCAGACTACCATTCCACACTTGTGCCAATAGTAACAATGTTAACATCTGCAATATGAGTTAGTTTATTCAGTCAGCTCAAATGAGGAATTTCAATGAGAATAAATGCAAATGCATATTTTTCTTTTTGTTCTCAAGGCCTCTTCAAAATACTCTATATGTAGTGTAATTTAAAAGCAGACAAAAATACGGAAAGTAGAGCTTAATGCCATCTTAGGGAAACCATGAACAGAACACACGGTTCCAGGTGGTGAACAATACCCAGTCATTTGCAGAAATGTGTAGGGGGTGGCATTCGTTTCTCGTTTCAGAAAGTGTGAATAAATGTCAGTATTTGTCATCAGTGCTCTATTTCACATCAACGGGACAGAAGAAAGAACACAAAGAAGTGGACTGTCCACACGGCCCTGCATTTCTTTGATCTGACTGCCCTCTTTTGAAATCTTGCAAAGAAGTGCTGCAGTGCTTTTTGTAGAGAAGATTGACCTGATGTCCACTACAAAATCCTTGTGATATGTTTTTTACATCATGATACTCAAATTATGTATGTGACTTGTTGAGATTTAATTGGACAGTTGATTGAGGGTTCCCACTCTTTTTCACAAATCATTTTCCAGGAGTTTTTCTTCACAGTACAGGACAGCACTTACACTTTGCTTTTGGGCAAACTGACTAAACTCAAGCTATAAGCATGATAGTGCTCGACTTCCTCCAATTTCCTGCGCTTTACTTTCTTTGACTTCCTTCGGAACTCCTAAAACTTTGGAGGCCACCTAGCAGTCCGAGGCCCCCGGGGCAATCCAGCCCTGTGTTTACCTTATTTTAATTTCAACTAATGCCGACTCAAATGATTCAAGAACAGTATGAAGTGTTAGAGTTGTACCTGATGGCTTGAACCCAGTCAACTGGACAACCTGTTTAAATTGGAAACACACACACACACACACACACACACACACGCAATGCTCAGTCATATTTAAATAGCATGACATATGACAGGTGCAGTGTTAACACTAATAATCTTACTTGTTACTTACTTGGTTTCCTGATGCTGGTTTTAAAGAGAAACTCACAAAGCTCTCCTTTCTGAAGCTCTCTGAAAAACATACACAACACACTCCTTTGTATTTAAAGTTTGCATTTTTCTGTCAGGACCAACAACATTTGTTGTTTATGCAAGGCCAAAACATGTGAGACAAAGAGATACAAGAAACACAACGCATATTACAAAGAAAGCTTTATGAAATATACAAAGGGAAACAAAAATGCAAACAATGTGAATGACAGTAGAACATTATGGGAACTCTTAGTAATGGTGCGTTCCCACTAAAAGTGAATATAACTATTTGCAAGAGTACAAGTTAATTCAGTTGAAAATATTGCAAGGTTATAGTGGTGTATGGGAAGGAGCGGAGACAGAGCTGCTGCTGGCACAGAGACAGCTGCCTGAACCAGGGAGCTTCTGACTCTATGATAGTACTTCATATTTATACAGAGAACGGATAGAAAAGGAGATTGCTATATGTGTCCATTACTCCATTCAGAAAACAAGCATTTCAAAAGTTGTTTGCTTGTAGTCTTGCATACAGACATGATACATATGACATTTTTACAAATTGCCATCATGATGTATTGCTATTTAAGCATCTGTTTGATCCGTTTATTGACATTAAATCACAGCAATTTATTTTAGGCTCATACCACCAGGGGCGCCGTATAGGGGGGAAAAGTTAGGACAATTCCAAGGGCCCATGGCTGACAGGGGCCCCAAAAAATAGGTAAAAACTAATATAAAATTATTAAACCATCATCATTCAGTATATATATTTCAAATATAATAATAAAATTAATGATCTCTTTTTTTTTACTTGTTTTTGGCAGTAAAAGTTAAATATCCCCATTGACCAAAAAGTAAACATCCATATTGAGATAACTTCTGTTATGAATTGGCGCTATACAATAAAATTGAATTGAATTGAATTAATATGGAGGGGGGATTCTAAAGTTTTTGGTTAAACGGGACAAACTTTTTAAAATGTTCTTTTCAACCCCATGTCCCTAAGAATAACTAATAATAAAAAATCATTAAATAAATGTATGTTTGCTGTCACTGCTTTATGAGTCAAAACCAGATGTAGTACTGTGGAGCACTACACACAGAGAACTACAACTACCATTAAGTGACCACAGGGAACTTAGAATTCCTAGCTACACCTCTGGCTGTGTGTCATTTGCTTTACAATGACAATTAGTTGAAGGTTTGATGATCACTCAATCAAGTGTGTTAAACATGACACAAGTATATTGGTTTTTAGTCTTATCCTATTTTTGCTCATATTTTGAATAAAGCATTTACATGAGGTTACATGGAACATGAGAAACCAGGTTATTCATATCTCTGCATACATGATCATAACAGCATCCAGGTTTCATTAGATCGCCAGCCACAATGTTCTTTACCAGCAGAGAATGTCCTATTTTCTACTGCATTAGAATAATCTTGTAATTTACACAGTTTTATTGCAAATAGAGTATGCCTAGTCATTCATTTTTCATTCTGATATATTACAATATTGACTGGTGGCCACTGTAGGTTGTGGTGGTTTGAGTTTGGACAGGGGCCCCAGTGTAAGATGTCGCTTATGGCCCCAAAATGCTAAAAAATGGCCCTGGACCCCGGTTATGCAGCCTACCATTCTTGATGACCAATGATGTGGAGGTCGAGCTGGGGAGTCCAGAGGTCTCACTGGTCTCAGGGCTGGAAGGGGTCGGAGGACTGCGGCCCCAGGAAGTAATTGGGGCTCTCTGGGAGGGTAGGAAGCTGGTTGGCTGGGAACAGTTCTGACAAAACACCACGAACCAATCACAGTGCTGCAAAGTGATGATTTGATAATAAAGTATGATGTATAATATGTGTTCTAGTCTAGTACTTATACTAAAAAAACTGCCCATACAAAAGCAAAACTTCTAGTACAATAAACGTTTGTAAGGAGGTAATGTATTTTCTGTACTGATTGACCTGATCAATGCTGTGTGCTTTTTACTCACTCACCGTGAAAGATAAGGCCTTCCTCCTTTCTTTGATCCTCTTTATGGCATTCCTCACCTAAATGAGAAGCAGGGTTTACACCCACTGGTTCATCCAAAAGGCTGGCAGCCTCACATTCCATACAAAGATACATTCTGAGGCTCAGAGAGCCGCAGTGGCGACAGACAGCAGCGCTGACAATGGACTAAACGCCTCCTTACCTCACTGTTGTAAACAGCATACACTAGGAAAATATACAGGCCCTGTGGAGAGGAGACAGACACATCAGGAAGCACAAGTGGAAAACAATGAACGCTATTCATACAGTTTTTATCGACAGTATCTTTATCAAGTCCATTTACTGCTGCACTCTGTCATCTCTATCGAACTCTGCTTTTCTCTTGACCAACAAAGAGAGAAACACATTGCAAAATAACATTTCATGCTCTCTGTCTGTTTTCTTCTGGCACGAGCTTCACTCAGATTCAGCAGGGTGTGGGTGAACTGAATCCAAATTGGACCTCTCTCTTTCTCTCTCTATTACAGGGGAAATCTGTTCCAGACATAACAGCAACTTCTCTAAGATTGCAGTTTGGTTAACCTCCTGTATGTCCAGCCATGTACTGTAGAAGTGTGTAGACTACAAAAATGTTTTCCCTTCACTGCCGGCAGCGTAGATGTTCTTAACAGCTGCACTCGTAGGCGGTGTGAAAAGCCTGCAATCGTAGAGAAGGAGACGTGATAACCTTTTGAATAACAGTGCACATTTTCAGAAAGTCTCTCCTGGAAGGCATTCATTGTGTTGTAAGCATGACAAGTGACAGAAATAGTTGTGTAACAAATGAAAAGCAAGAGCTGGAGAGAGAAGTTCAAATGCTGTTCATATTCTCAGTGGGCGTAATTGTCACCTTGTCCCTTTCAGAAAGTTACAAAGATTCATCTGCCCTAGTTCAGACCAAGAAAATGTTTGGGGCTAGGGGGTTTCAGAGGCTGCTGGACCATCTTGACCAGCCTTTAGCTGCCACTTTGGTGAAGAAAACCCCTCTTGTGGTCTCAATCAGACTATCTACGGTTAGGGTTAGGGTTAGAGTGAGTTTACCTTTGTAGTATCAAACTCAACAAGTCTTCCAAACTAAATCGCAAAGCAGGAACTGGTCGTATTACCTTCCACAACAACACATATGAGCATTTTATGATGCTGCCCACATCTCTCTATAAAAGCAAGAAATCTCTGTCTGACTGTCTGTCTGTCTGTCTGTGTCTGTCTGTGTCTGTGTGTGTGTGTGTGTGTGTGTGTGTGTGTGCCTCAAATATCTCTGCAGATCAGGATCAAACTGACCTGAGAGTTTCAACATGGCTGCTGTGTGGTTTAAGGGTGTACAACGTCGGCTTTGTTTGGACTTGAGGCAACTCAACAGACTGAATTATAACTACAAAAATCCTTAGAGTATGATTTTTTGCCACAAAATATTAAATAGTTACATTTTTTTATATTCAGAAATAACTTATTTAAACTGAACCATGTAGCATATCTAGTTAAACCAACATTCAAATTTTTAATCAGAGAACTGAAATTTGAGTGAGAATAAACTAGAGCTGTATCATCTGCAAACATTATTGGAGAAAGTATATTTTAGACATTTGATAAATCATTAATATAAATAAGAAATAATAATGGTCCAAGAATGGATCCCTGGGGGACCCCACAAAGTAGTGTAGCTTTGTTGGAATAGCATCCATTAATACAAACAAACTGTCTTCTACTTGAGACATAGTTTTTTAACCATTCAAACGTAACATCGTAAAAACCATATTTATGCAGTTTTTTAAAGTAAAATATGATGGTTAACTGTGATACAGTTAACCAATAAAGCTTTTGAAAAATCGATGAATATACTACAAATAAATTCATTATTTTCTAATGAAGAGGTAACTTTGTCAATCAAATGAAGCAAAGGCATATAAATGGAGTGATTTTTCCGAAAACCATACTGATGTTTGTAAAGAACTGAATTAGAATCTACATGAGAAAGGATCCTTATGATTTTTTCTAATATTTTTGAAAAACATGGCAAAATAGATATGGGTCTATAATTATTAAAACAACACGGATCATCCGCTTTAAATAGAGGAATAACTTTGGCAACGTTTAAATCCTCTGGTACAACGCCTGTTGCCATAGACAGATAAATAATGTAACCTAGTGGCTGCAAAACTAGGGATGCAGAAATGTCATCATGGCCAGCTGAAGATGTTTTTAGTTCATCAATAATGTCACTTATTTCTTGGACATCAGGAGGCTTAAAAGAAGAGATAGAAGGATAATTTCCTGAAATGAAATCCAGTGGATTACTACAACTAGGAGGAACTTTACTAGCTAATTCATAACCAATGTTAACAAAAAAATCATTGAATTTTTGAGCTATATCAAATGAATTTTTAAAAGAATTGTCATCATCTAAAAAGATTGAAGGTAACTCTGGGTGAGTCTTTTTTTCTCTATGCAGCAACTGATTTATAACTTTCCATGTGGTTTTAGTATCATTTGAACACCAATTTTTCACAGAAATATTTCTTTTTTGCAGATCTAATGGAATGAGTATATTTATTTCTATAAGATTTATAAACACCATGGGTAAGGGGTGTAGGATTTGAGACATATTTTCTGTACAATTTATTCTTTTTCCTCAGCAGCTTCAGCAATCAACTGTAAACCAAGGCCTACTTAAGTCCTGATTGCATTTCCTAGTAGAACTGCCTATTGGAAAACAGTCATTGAAACTATAGCTAATGACTTTCATAAAATGTTGATATGCAGAATGAGCATTATTTTCTTTATATAGATCATTCCATGAGATACTGGCAAGCATATCTTGAAATTTAGAAGTGTTTGACTTGCTCATAATTCTTTTGTGTATCTTTTTCTTATTTTGTTTAGTTTTATTAGGCATGATTAACGAGTACTGGAATATAGGAAAATGATCTGACAAATCTAAATACAAAACCCCGGATTTCATGCCTTCACTCAAGTTGTTTGTTAAGATGTTATCAATCAAAGTTGCTGAATTTTCCTTTACTCTTGTAGATTTATGAATAAGTGGGAAAAAGTAACTAGAATAAAGAATATTAAGAAAATCCGTAGTTAATGACTCTAAATTATTTTTAAAGAGGTTTATATGAACGTCTCCTAAAATATAACAAAGTTTATCCTCCTTGTGTATCAAATCAAGAGAACTGGACAGACTTTCATTGAAATCTTGGACAGTAGAGTCAGGTGGGCGATAAATAACACCAACTATAAAAAATTTTCCACCAAAGACACCAGAGAGCTCCACAAACACAGATTCCACCTCAGCCCTAGCTGATTCAGGGAAAGATCATCCCTAACTTTAAATTCATAGTCACCAAGAAAAAACAGAGATACTCCACCTCCAGATCTATTCTCTCTTACGTAGTGGACTGAATTATAATTTGGTAATTTAAACATTTCTCTAGAATCTTCTGTAAACCATGTTTCAGATAAGGCAATAACCGAGAAATTATGTTTGAGTGAAGATAAATAATGAATAAATTTGTCATAGTTGCAAGGAAGACTTCTTATACTCAGGTGGAAAGTGGAGAATATATTGGAAGGCATAGAAACACATAAGTCAGTTTCATCATAAAATCTGCAGAGGTAAGTGGCATCAAATGATGAAAAAAAATGTAGATCTGGGTCAACATCAACATTGTAAGAATCAATTGCAGAGGAATCAAAAGGCTTAAAAATATGGTCATCAGAATCAGATGTGTTGCAGTAGTCCATAAGGTGTAAATATAATGTACTGTGGACATGTCATAAAAAAAAAGAAATCAGAGTACTGTAAAAATGAACCATGGTGGGCACTACTGACTGTTTGCCCTCCTTTGCTGTGGAGGGTTTTGAGTAGGTGGATGGACAATAAGTTTGTCGTATCTCAGATATGCAATGTCACATCTCTCTCGAGCTGCCTTCATTGCAGGGAGTAGATCTTTCCTTCCTCCTCATTGATGAAGATGTCTGAGCCCTTCAGGTTTTTAGCTTTACCCAGAACAGCAAGTTTGTCTTTCAGCCGCAGAAATCTGACCACAATGGGTCTAGGCTTTTCTGATAGTGTCACCGGTTTCCCAGTTCTATGAGCCCAGTCCAGCTCTATTTTCAAGTGATCCAGTTGTAATTTTTCACTGAATACTTTTCTCACTTTTTCTTCAGATTCAGACACCTTTTCTTTCACAGACTCTTTGATGCCATCCACAACAATATTATGCTGTCTTGTCTGTCCCTCAAGATATTCAGTCTTGTCTGAGACTGAAATCAAACTTTTACAAATCGTGTCCAAATCTGTCCTGGTTTCACTACAAGTCTTGGACAATGTACCACAAGAGATTTTTAAATCATCAAATTCTTTTTGGTCATTTCCAGACTCACCTTGAAATCATAAACTTGCTTTGACAGATCATCTATCCTCTTATTAGAAGACTGAACTATGATCTGTACGCAGGATTTGAAGCTTTTTTCTTGTTGTTCAAGCAAAGTTCTGTAAAAGTCCTTTTGCTGAGCCAATAATTCACGCACTTGAGCCATGGTAACATATTCCTCGGTGGTGTGGTTGGAAGCTTTAGGTGGCATTGTTTGATGATCTCCGTTAACCCGTAAGGGGAGCCGCTAGCGGGCCAGCTTGCAGTTCGAGTGCTGGGGCCAACAGCTAGCAGCTAGCAGCTAGCAGCCAACAAAAGATGGAGGAGTTTCTGTCGAGCCACCGCTGTTGCTAACACTCTGTGAGCCGTCCTGTAGAGCACACAACCTCCGACTGAACCAATGAGGACCAGATTCAATTTAATTAGATTTTATTTGTATAGCGCCAAATCATAACAGAAGTTATCTCAGGACACTTTTCAAAATAGAGCAGGTCTAAACCGAACTCTTTAAAACATTATTTACAGAGACCCAACAGTACCACCATGAGCAAGCACTTGGCGACGGGGGCAAGGAAAAACGTCCTTTTAAGAGGCAGAAACCTCGGACAGACCCTTGCTCTAGGTGGGTGGCCATCTGCCTTGACCAGCTGGGGTAAGAGAGAGAGACAGAGAGAGAGACAGACAGAGACAGACAGAGAAAGAGAACAGAGGTAACGACAGAAGGACAGAGACAGAGACAAAGGAGCACAGCAACAACAGTAGCAAGTAGTGACTGATTGTGATAATGATGATGAACATGAAGAAGATGATGACGACGACAACAACA